TTTCTCCCAATATGGGGACAGGAGAGCTGTCAGTCAATAACTGGGAAAACAAAGTAACTGGCATTACTTTTTTGAAAAAGTAACTCAGATATTTTCTTGTAAATTAAAAAAGTAATGGGTTACTTTACTAGTTACTTGACAAAAGTAATCTGATTACGTAACCTGCGTTACTTGTAATGAGTCAGTTTTCCCAGCCGCCCCCGTGGCCAGTATGAGCCGCAGCATGACAGTAGGTGGCGCTGTTGCTACGAGAGAGAGAGAGAGAGAGAGAGAGAGAGAGAGCAGCTTGCTGCAACACTGCGGCGGTCCTGCGTCCAACATCCACTAAACACACTGCAGTGTTTGTAGTCTGATGAGCAGGGCCTTTACAAACTGCCATCTGACGTTTCTCAAGTACAGATGAAATATAACATGTATTTGAATACAGTAGGAACGATTTAGGCCTATTGTTAAATAACTGCAGTTTTTCATTAAAATACACAATGAGGTCTAAATGTCTGAGACCACATTGCAAATAGATTTTCCCATTTAAACCCAGAAATTAACAGTTTTTGAAAAAAAAAAAATCTAAGTAATATTATTATTTGATATAATATTTGCACTTTTTCTAGATCACTAATTAAAAAGAAATAACAAATTTTATATTGAGTGCTGCTGCCATTAAAGCAAAAAACGTGCTTTTTTTTTAAATTTGTAAAATTAATGGTATTTTGGATCATATAACATTATAATATAGTTTATAGAATCTTGTATAAAATTAGAAAAAATGCAAAACAGAAGCATTTTATTCAGCGGTCTCAGACTTTTAAATTGCCCCGTATATACTAAAAAGATAATATTTCTAACCCAATATTGTTGACAATGAAAGTTTTCATTCATGTGTATTATATTAGCAGTGGGTCCGTATTCTGTGCTTTACTTTAAGATGATCTGTTGAAGAAAACAGAAAGAGAAAGATCATTTGCAGAGCTCATCCTCCTCCACTAATGCTTTAATAAAACATAATACAGACCAAAGCCAACGTGTCCTTTTGTGACCATCACATGTACACAGAACATAAAAAATAGATACATAACATGGTGTCTGAAATCAAATTAACTGTAATATTTATTAATAAAAGTTGTTAGCAGCAAGTCGTTTGAACCATGATATTTAAAGGGTCATGAAACCCCAGACTACTTTTTCTGAGATTTTAGCAGAGGTGTTTGTGTTGCACATCATAGAAGACAATGTTAGCATCCGATAATTTTAATTGTTGGAGAAAACTGGTTAATTTTAAGCTTTTTTGCTCTATTTTCATCTTCCGGGTTTCAAATCTACATCGTGTTGACGTCACAATTTGTGACGTGGCAAAGGACTACAGTACATCGATGATGCATCGGTGTCTATTTAATTATTCATGAGACTGTGTGTTCTTATCCTATGAGAAGACGCTTCGCTTAATTATTCACAACAGCATGTGCTGATTTGCTATGACACGCTTCAGGCTGTGAGATGACATCGCGCACATTAACTGAGAGAAACATTCATGGATGGAAGAAGAGTGTTTGTTTTTGCTTTGTAACAAGAGTTCGGCACAAACGCGATTTATTCACTTGGTGAGCATAACCGTTTTTACAGCTCTGTGACACAACCCATCAAAAGGCTCAACTTTTTCAGAGAAATCATTTCTGACAAAACTACAGAAAACTGAGAGGGAAACATGTTTTCTCCTGTGATGGACAGTTTAACATCTGATCTGAACAGATGGTTTAGGTGGAAGGTCAGGGAGGGTTAGTGGGAAAGTAAATGAACAAACCTGACTGGCGTTTGCTGAGGCAGCAGTGACATAAGGGCTAACAGCAGGAACAGCTGGTGCGCCGAGCATCATGGGAACTTTTTCAACAAGGAACACACACGGAAGCAATAAAAACATAACGGAATTTGTAGCAAAAAATGTGGGCAGGTGAAGTGACTGCATGCACATGTGAGTGTGTTGGAGTGAAGGTACCTGTGGGGAGTAACGCTGTGGCCGTCTGCAGTGGTGTGGGGCTGACGGTCTGCTGGAAGGACAGTGTGCCGCAGTTAAACAGACCTCCTGCCACTCCAGTCGGCTCCAGAGCCACACGCTTAGCCAACAGAGCATGAGGAGCAGCCTGAAAGAAATAAACCGAGAGGAAGAGTGAAAGAGACAAGAGACTGATGTCTGAAAACCACTTAAGCCAATCACACACAGTCTTTTAGTCGCCAACTAAAAACTTCACAGGCAATTAACTTTAGTGCATATTTCTATGTATTTTCTTAATTACTTTCATTGTCTTTGTAGCCTGAGCTCTGCTTTAGATTTCGGTTCGACTTTAGAATTATTTATCGGTGAATGTCTGGTTGATGGTAAATGTCGCAAACAGCTCCTTGCAAAAACTTAGACTTTAACATACTTCTAAAGTTTTAGAGTACTTATTATGGACATAATATACATTAAAAAGTGTGAACTGAATGCAATGTTTTCAGTGTTAACTGCAATCAAATTAAAACATATTATTTACATTTATATTAAATGCAATTAGTTGAACTTTAGACTTAAGTACATCTTTATATGTAATTTCATAATGACTTTTATTGTCTAAAATATACTAAATATACTTTTATGTCGTCAATTTAAATATATTTGTAAACACACATTTGCAATTATGAAGTTGCAATTTAGTCCATTTAAAATATATTACATTTAAATGTAATATTGATTTTAAATGTGATATTAAAACATACGTATGGTTTTTAGAAACAGTCATGAAAGTGTCTCTCTTTAAATACACTTAAATGGCCTTATATTTCATGAATTATATTTTCTGCAAGTACAGTATTTTAAATATATACTTTTAAGATTTAAAGTATACTTCAAGTGCACATTCAACACAATTAAGCGCACTTCTTTTGGCAGCAAAGAAAAGCTAAAGGAATTTGCTGAGAATGAATTGTGGCCTTTGGAAGTATTATTTATTTGTGTATATTGTCTGTGTGCATGCCCACAAAATGAGCCCTGTCTGTGTTCTGCATGGGCCATTAATCAAGAGGCAAATGTTTAAATGGAAATGCTTCCCGACAATGGCTGACAGCAAAGTGGTAACATTTTCAGACCAGGACTGTATGTGGTTTGTGAATAAGACACAGGGTTCTGAACTATAACGCTGTGCGCTAAAATGGTACAAATGTTAAGTGAATGCGCCTCTAATGGACTGCAGCCATTAAAGTCGAGGTGAAGGGTGGATGGTGAAGTACCATGTCGACAGATGTCTCAAGGTGTCGCTTCAGTATTTTGGCACTGGACTGATTCTGCAAACAGCATGAAGCCACAACATGATAGCAGCAGGCCAAGAGTTTAACATACAGCAAGCAGGTGCATCATGTGAAGGATTAAGTGAAAAAAATAATTTAAGCAGAGAACCACAAGCAAGTGCACACAAAATATCCAGCTGAGCTTCTACATCCAATGTGTATACATCCAACATATAATTAAAAATGTGATCTAAAGAGAACTTAGAGCAGTATCTTTATGTTAGAACCAGGGTTCCCATGGTCTTAAAAAAAACTGGATATATGAGGGAATTTGAGTATGATTTCTAGATTTGGAAATATTTTTTATACATTTGACTTAATTAATATACATTCTTGCATTTATGTCAATTATCTGTATGTTCTCTAGTGTAGTTCACAGTATAGTTACAACACATGAGAAAAAAACGTGTTAAAAATTGTGTACTCAAAGTTAAACTTAAAAGTATACTTCTGTAAAACTAAAAAGTGGGCCAATTTTGTCTCAGGAAGTTCTGAAATAGTACACTTATAAGCAGGGCCGTCGCTAGCATTGTGTGAGACCCAACCGCCTAAAATAAAATTTACATCTGTAAACCATAGAAAGTGAAAGTGAACTTGCTCTCCCGTTACTTCAAAACACAGTGCGCATGACGTTAATGACACAAAGAAGAACATGGATGAATAGAGGCACTATTTGGGTAGTCTCGCGTCGCCAGACCTTCAGACTGACGGCTGAAGGTCTGGAATCCATGGCAGCTTTCATTGGCCAAGGTCCGGCCATGACGACGTTTGACCGACATGTCAAACAACCAATCACAGTTAGTTTCGTTCGTCGTCACGTTTCGGGGCGTGGAAATGTCGCCACAATATCAGACCGGTGTGTAAAACTCTCGGACGTATTTTAAAGATTCTATGACATGAACTTTAAATATTTCACATACTTTTGAAAATCCAGGGTTTAGTTGATCCTGATAAGCGCTCGTCGTCACAGTTGTAAACACGATGGCTTTCTTCTTTCGTAAGGATTTGGCGTCACGGCATCTTTGTTTCCAGACGGAACGTTAAAGAACGCGACACACACGTCTCCCGGAAATCCTGTAGAATTCAACCAATCCGACGAGGACTTCGAAACTCCTGAAGTGTTTCCACTTTTGTGTGACATATGCATCAGACGTTCAGCCAACGATTCGTGGGCGTGACGTCTGAGGCTGAGACTACTATTTGGGTGATCTAAAGCGAAAACGTAAGAAATTAGTGGCGAAGAGGTGAAAAGGGTGAAATATTGGTACAAAATGGGTATTTAAAAATCAGAATAAATAAAATATTGGAGATTATTCCAGTAACAAGACATGGAAAGAGTAGCAATACTAGGACGGCGTCAGTTGCTACCAGTGTTGGGAGTAACGCATTACAAAAGTAATCATAATACAGTAGTATATTAAGTTTTGCTGTAACGCAGTAATATAACGCATTACTAATAAAATGTGGGTAATATTATTACTCGTTACAGTCTCAGTAACGCAAGTTACAACAACATATTTTAACTCTAAATTAAGTGGTGAATTTACCAACACCGCAAAA